TAACACACACACACACACACACAGAGAACCTTCACTACGCGGAAAACTGATGGCAAAGTTATCTACCGCTCATGCCCAAGCCCCAACGATATAACGAGCCTCCTTCGTACCAGCGCGAAGTCCTTGTGACGCGGTGTTCGTCCCAGTATCCTCCCATTCTCCGATATTCGCCCGAGTCTCTCTCGAGGAAGTAACGGCCGTGTCAGCCTGACGCAACGTCTGCTCATCTCGATTCCCGCCAAACACGCGTACCCTCAACCTCGGCCTCTTCCCCTCGCTGGCGCACCTCGTCCCCGGCTAAACTGATTCGTGGCGGCGACTACCCGAGCACGTGTACACGGGCGTCGGGACGACAGCCGAGCGGCGTCGATCCCGCTTCCCCGTGCGCACCGCCATAGGCGCGGATCTCAGCGGCGCCCGGTCGGACGCGGCCTCAGTGCCGTCCCGCATCGCTCGGCAACATGGCCGACCCGAAGAAATACACGCACGAGTACTTCAAGCTCCGGAGGCTGACCAACGAAATCGACTGTCAGATTCGCCGGCTCTCCGTGAGTGACACGCCTCTGCGAGCGGGTAACTCGCTTTTTGCCGGCTCCCCGTCAAGCTGCGGGGACTTGCGGCCCCCTCGGCTAAGCGCCAATCACACTGCCGTCGATACGGCTTTTGATTGCACTTTTCGGAGGTGGCGGAGCCGAATAATACGCACTCGTTCTCGGTGATCGTGTAATAGTGGGCAGCTGTCGGGGTCGGAAGGAAGATGCGCAGAGTGGGGACGTTGAAGTATCAATGGGTTTGGTGATTAAACGAGTCGATGCCATCCAGCCGAAACAAATAAAAAAAAAATAATAATAATAATAAACAAATCACTGTACCGGTCTCTTTGAAAATTACATACTCCCTCGTGAAACTAAAATTGGCTCGCAGTTTATTGCTGTTTATGCGAATATTGACAGACCATTGGGGCCCATTGAACGATATCTTATTTATCTTCCAAATGCGCCTTTAGATCATATTTTGAAAGTTATTATTAGCTTATTCGTTAATGGCTATAATAAACCTAGGAAATAAGGAATGAAATAATCTTTCTAATAAGAACATTTCTAAATTTCTATTTCTAAATGGATCGCGTCCAATGTATCTGGCGCATAATACTTAAAATCTCCGTAATTATTCGTGCGCCTGGCGAGATAAATTGCATATTCAAGCATCAACGTCTGCTATTGTCTGTAATAGTGTATTTATATTTTCTCGTATTCATTAGTATTTTGGTAGAATAACAATTTTGCAAACGTTCAATGCTTACATTGAAATAATATATTTGTTTATATTATTGCATGCACAATCGAAAAAGTTTTAATTATAGTGATCGATTGTTATAAAGTCGGCGAGAAATGTTGAAGAACGTTCGATAATAGAGTTGCTTTGCATTTGATTACACGATGAGAATTTATTAACTGGAACTTCAATTATATATTTCATAAATTATACATACATGCGTAAATTTTAATTCGACAATAAATGAAAAGGATTAATAGTGAATATTATTCATAAGAAAATGTAAAATAAAACCATTGAATTATTAATTGTTAGCGGAAAAAGCGCATTTAATAAGATGCAATTTTGATTTTATAATCATGTTAGAATAAGTTTATATTTTGTAAGATCTTAATGGATTAATCTCGTATGATATCATTGAATCCAAGTAAAAACTAAATATACTAATCTAAGAGTATAACTAACGTCAAGAACAACTAATTTATTAAACATTATTTTCATGTTTATTAAAGATACATATTAAAAACTGCTTTATTTAATTATGAGTTGCATCACACGTTAAACATTACTACCAAGATTTATTTAATTAAATTAAAATTATCAAATTCCAAATTTATTGCTTGAAAACGTAGTTTCAAATTCAGTTACAATTATTTTTATACCTTGTCATTCGTAATTAAAATGTAAATATAGTTTTATCGAAGTTATTATTTACGCGTTCTATTTTTATTGCTATTCATTAAATAAAATAAATGTAATAACTATTTTTAATTAGCTAAAAAATTATTCTATTAAAATATTTCAAAGATTTTACCGACGTAAGTGATTGTGTGGCTATTAAATTTGTCATAAAAACATCAATTTCATTCAAATTAGTTTTTATAAAAAAATAATAACAAATAGATAATATGTAAAAAAAAATTTTAATCTAATTGTTCTAATTTTTGGTATTGATAATTTTTATTCAAGATGTTAAAAAATATTAATACTTTGTGCTTTGAGTAATAGTGATTACAGCAAGTTATTATATATATATATATGTGTGTATGTATATTAAAGTAGTTTTTATATAATTTAAAAATTTATATATATAATACATTAAACATAAATTTTAATAATTAAATACGCGAAATTATTAAAATAACTACTGCATCCACGGAGAACTCACTGATCTTACGATTAACTTGAAGAATATTTTTATTATAATACATATATAATAAAATATACGCTCTATTTAACAATATACAGATATAAGCTTTTTTTGTTGCAGTCTGAATACGGACTTACAGAAGACCAAGTCGCAGGTAAGCTATTTCAAATGCATTAATCTTTCATCTATTAAAACTTTATAATGTAAAATATTGCGTATAAGTTTAAGAAATTCAATGGTCGACATATATTTTTACCAAAAGTGAGAAATTGATTGAATTGAAATTCAGTCTGAAATTCATGTAGAAATTCACCAGTCTAAAATTCGATCAAATGAACTAATGAATAAGTAATTGGCAAAACATCAAAAGTAATGTTGATACCTTCATGGCATAAACAAATTCAAAATCATATGCGCACTTACGAAACTTTTAAATGCCACTTTATAAGTCAATAAAATTCTGTATATGGTATATTAGATGAATAATTCACATAATAACTACAATATAAATTAAAGATGCTTATAAAAAATAGGTATAAGACTTTTTAATGCAATTAATTAATTGAATTCTTAACTGCCAACAATTATTATTAATAACTATGCACTAAATTGAATGTTAATAAAATCAAGGGATAGCCCCATGTAGAATAAAATTTTATTATTACAGCCACTAATTAAATTCTCATCTACGTAATATTGTATAGAGGATTATATTTGTGACATATCTAATGTCTTATTTTATTTATTTATACAATCGCGAATATAACATTAATATCAGCTCTTTAAGCTACAATTCATTATTAAGTGACATTAAATATCCATGATTTTTGCTAAAGATTAAGTGACGTTTAAAATTTTGCGCAAATTATTCTATGTCATAAATTGCCAAATCATATATATTACGTTTATTTCTTGTTTTATACCATCAAAGAATAAACGTCATTTAGACTTAGTAGAGTGAGAAGCTTACTTTTGGCTAAAGTACCAATGTTCCAAATATTGGCACAAAAAGCGTAAAAACCTGAAATGGTGTGATATATCTCCAAAAACATGTAAAACAAACTCGACTTTCTCTTTCCTCGGATCTGAAAACGTATGTTTAAATTTAATATAGTAAGATACCCAGTTTTTCAATAGATGAATGCGTGGATTGTTTTGATAATTTTTCTTGATATACTTCGGATTTCCTCTGAAATTATTACATTTGGTGTATTATTTTAAAATACGATTTTAATAAGTGCAATTGTTTGTATACTTTAAACTTTTTTTATTTATCAATAATTTTTAGTTTTGTACCGTTTTTATTTATTTTTGCTTTCGCCCACGTAAAGATAACACGAGTTTCTTGGAATGATATTAATTTAAATAACAATAGTTTGGTCCCATGAAAATCTTATTCCAATAAACTGAAGCTATAATAGTTTTTCTAATAATCCTATTTTCAGTTGATCTACTGATTTTTCTATTTGTTGGATAGTAAAAAATTGTAAGTCACGATTGCCGAAAAAGCACTCCGCTCAGTTACTTTTTTAGCTATTACTTTTTATTTCTCTTTCTTACTATCTCATTATGGAAGTCTTCCATTAAAAATAGAGTACTATTATGAAAAAATCTAATATTTAAAAAACTCAAAATACTTTTTTCGAGGTTGTTGTTAAATAATTTTACTATTACTATTATAATTTAATATATAATCAAGATGGTTATAGATATAGTATTTTTTTTTTAAATTAAACAGCATGATGAGAAAAACATTATAGACTGTAAAAGATTTTTAATTTATATATATAGATATAAAGTATTATTTGATGGAACATCGCCATAAATAATTATAATTATTATAAATAAAACTTTATTTATAAAGGAAATATATTAAAGTAATCAATTGGTTTTGTTTTATAAGAGGTTATAAATGTATTTAATTTCATGATAGTTATTTCCATCATTTATTTGCGATATATCGCGGATATTCTAAACTCTACAGCCAAAAACTTATGAGTAGAAACAAAAACACGTGAGTAGTGATCTTGCGCATGTGATAGAACTACAAATAAAAATTATATATACCGTTCTCATTTTATCAGAAAAAACAGAAAGTCAAGAAAACGGAGGAAAATAATATAAGCAAATATGTTAATTGAAATAAGTAAAACGAATAAAATAAACAATTATTAAATGAATTAATAAAACCAATGTATAGATTTTTGTCAATCAACGAGATATCAGGATACTCGAAGATACGAAAGACAAGAGTCGATCACTCAGTAAGGTCGATTATTAAAAGAGGAAGAGAAAAGATAAAGTTGGAACCACTCAAATAAGCAAACATAAGTGACAGTCAATATACCTGCATTATAATTTCAAATTAAGCTCCGTCACCGTCTTTCTTTTATTTTCGTACTCTTCCTCTCTTAAAACTTTTCGATACGACTCTCTTTAACTTTTTCATTTGCTGTGTACGTGAAAAAATGAACATATTACTAATATTAGCATAATTTTAAACAAATTTTACATTTATTAAAAATATTTTTAAATAAATCTCTAACTCAGTATTTATTCTATTTGAGAAAAAATTCCGAATATATTAAACATTAAATTTATGTACAAATAATACGTTTTTAATGTGGAAAAAAAATTTGAAAAAATTATGTTTGTATTATATAATTCTTAATTTTTATTGTATAAAAACAGGGATTCAATGGAGTGATTTAAATATTAATCATCAATAAATCATATTTAATCAATTTAATTCTATAATTAATAAAATATATTCTATGCCGATAATTAAACAAAATTTTTTAAAATACATATATATATATATATATGTGTGTATCTTTACCATCTCTATTATTACAGTGAATTAAATTTTTCTATTAATTCATAAGCTATTTTATGCATATATATAATATTACAGTTTTAAATCTCAAATACGATTTGCATTATTAAAAATCCTTAGAATAACTGAAAACTTCTTCTCTTGTTGACCTTGCTTAAAATAAATTTATTATAGTTTTCTAAATCTATTTATCTAAAAATTCGTACTTATAAGAATAAATGATTATTTATAAAAATATTTTTATATAGATTTACTAATCATTCAATGTATGGAAATTTTTCTGATGATTGTCACGTTTTTTCTTAATAAAATTTTTAATTAACGACTTTATATACAATAATATGAAGTAAATCTTAACTTTCGAAACTTTGTTTAAATAAACGACTATTTTATACCATAAATCTATTTTCAAGCAAAAATCATTCATAGTCATATAAAAGATCTTTTAAAATGTTGCTGCATTTATCAGTACATAAATTTCATTTCGTTTCTTTTAAATAAACAAATGTATATTGATTCTCAATTCAATATAAAATCAATATTTGTATATTTTCGAAAATAATTTTATTCGACTATATTCTTATAATTTTACTTATCCTTTAATTACAGTTTATAAACTACTTTCTATGATAATAATTTTAATAAATGTAATAATCACTAAAACACATTTATTTTATTCGAAAAAGTAATAATTTAGTTCTTTTAGTTTATTTATTAGAAAATTTAGAATAAATAAAATTTATTTATACATTTTTAAATAGTATTAAATTATAAATTACACATTGATTTAATTAAAAAAAGCTCGTGTAAAATACAATTTTTTAAAAATATTAATTTTTTTATAATTAATTAATTAATTATTCTTACTTAATAGAAAATATAAATATTTAATTAGCATTTATATGATGTTTATTATATAATGCTATAATAACTTATAAATTTCGCATTAATTTGTTAAAACACCGACAACTTATTTTTTGTAGGTAGGACAATAAATACATCTATGTGCATAAAATATTAAGAAGATAGTTGAATAAAATGTATATAATCGTAAAAGAAAGCATTCCAATCCATTTTACACATCTATAACATGTTAAAGTTATAAAATACACCATAATCATCAATCATAAATTTGAAATAATCATGAAATAGGATGATACTGTCATTATCACATTAATAATGATCATATTATGCGTCCATTTAAATCACTACGGACATTTAAAATTTAAAAAATTTTAATTTCTATCATAAAAGATTCGAAGATTACGTATATGATGAATAATAAATTATCCTGTTAATTAATTTTATCCTATTTTATGCCCAATAGTATTCAATATGAAAAAGTAGAATGAAAGCAAGAAAATTGTTTATTATTTTCCATGTAGTAACCGAAAGTACGCTCTTATGAAGATCTTTTATATGCTAAATCCATATAAAATTATTCGGTTTTAAAAATCGATTTAAAAATTAAAAAAAAAAAACATATTCACGCATAGAATATGGCACTGGTATGGCATATTTATTTGTTAGATTCTTGAAATTCTTGATATGAAAATAAATATTCTTTGGTGGATTCTTCCCCGTTCTACAATTATGTGGAATTTACAGATATCACCTATTGAAGATGTAATATCATGCATTATTAGTTCATAAAATTCTAAAATCAAAATCAAAATCAAAATATTTATAATATTTAATTTAAAATTATCCTTTATCTCATTTTTTTTATTCTACATTTATGTTGAATAGAAATCTTTATCTTGAATACTTAATATTTTAATGTAGTTAACAGTAATAATAGAGAAAATTTATATAATTGAAAAATTAATACAATACAAAATTGCAATAAAATTCTTACTCAAATTCTTAAATAAGTATAAATAAATTAAAATTTCTATCATTCATTTGTACATACTATTACTATGGATATAGCAAATCAAACTAATCTCATGTAAATGTATATGGTTATTACCATAATTTATGTCTTTATTAAATAAAATATAATTAATAAACTGAACCAAATGTATAAATAATATACAAACAATTTGTAAATTATTCTATTTATTAAATAATAAGAGAAGAGTACTTTTTATGTATTATAGTTTATACATTCCATTCTAATTATAATTTTTTATAAAAATATAGATTATTAAACAATTCGAGTAATAATTGCTTATCGTAACGAAGAGCTAGAGAAAAGTAATTAATATATATTTAATAGAATATTAAAAATAATTGTTTTTGATATTACTCATCGAAAAATAATTTAAAATTGAAATTTAAATAAATATGTAAGCTAAGCAGAGATATTGTATTTAAATGTCAATTTTAATTATTAAATTTCTAAGGGGAACACATTCGTGTAATAATTTTCTTGAAACTCTTATTTTCTTTTCAGACAAATTATGCATAAGGAATTATATAGAATTTATTATTTTGAATATGAAATGTTAAATATGATAAATATTAACATGCTCTAAAGAAAAAGACAATACATTTTTAAATTAAATGAAGCAAATTGTCTATTGCGCAGAATTCAAAGAAGCTTTCATGCTTTTCGATAAGGACGAAGATGGCACTATCACAATGGCCGAACTGGGAGTTGTCATGCGTTCATTGGGACAAAGACCTTCGGGTAAGTGTCATTTAATATTTCAGGAATATATATCACATTTTATTAAATTTCAGGACATATAAAAAAAATTTTCATTTGAAATATCATTTGGATAAGTATTTTATAAATTTCTTATTAACATTATTATATACATCAAACTTAAAAAATTTTGTTATTAAAAATGAGAATTTAATTTCGTTTATAAGATCAATCTCATTATGAAGCTCCAGGTGTTATTTTAATATACAATTTTTGAGTTTTATAAAACATAGTTTAAGTAATATAAACAATAAATTTAAATTCATTAATAAAAAATGAAAAATTAAGTTATTCACTGAAAAACAATATTACCATACATAAAACTCTTTAGCATTAAAACATAAAAGTTATTTTATTATAGGACTTACAATGTATGCAAATGGAATTTTCTGGCTATTTTAGGAAAATATGAATAAGTCAGTCAGTTTATCAATTTTAATTTTATATAAAACTTGAAATAAAATTTCAAAATATATAGTTTAAAAAATAATTTTATAATTTGTGTTTTAAATATAAAAAAATTCTAAAAATAATAATTCATAATATATTCCCTTTACGTAGGTTAAGGAACACGAGAAACTTTTTATGCATCTCGAATTTAACATGCAATATTTTAAATTTGTTAAAATGAAAATTAAATATTCACAGAAAAAATTTGACCCTTTATGTTAATAATTAAATCTGTTACTCTAAAATACATTCAAATTTGTAATATTATTTTCATGTTCAAAATTAAGAAATATGATAATAAAGTCATACATAAATTAAATAATATAATTTGTAAAAAAAAAAAAAAAAAATATGTCATTAATTTATAGTAAAACACAAATTGTTTTCAAATTAAGAAAGAATAAAAAAAATAAATAAAGTAAAAGCACTAAAAATATAGATGAGTAAGAAAAATTCTTTGCAATGATATGTATATTTATAAACATAAACTATCACTTATCTTATTAAATATTCTCATTAAAAATTACTAATAATTTCTAAAAACTAGAAAATTTGAATTAATTTTGTCACAAATTTTATTTTATCTTAATATTATATTCAAATCTTACGACCCTATGATAAATTTTTTATATTAAATAATATATTAAATAATTTTAAAGCACTTATATAATAAATTTATTTTGAATTTTAATAAAAATCTATATAATTCTTATAATACATCTATATGTAGTTTAATATTTTGTAAATTAATTACTAAAGTTTTTGCATTTATATATTGACAGATGTTCAGAAAGATTTAATTGCTTTTAAAGGAAATATAACAATAAAATTGTTTATTTTTTTAAATATTATTCACGTAATTTTGAAGTAAACATAAAATATTCGATATTTTGTCAACATTTTAATTCATTTATAATCTTATCGTTGATATAAATAACAAATATGGAATCTACTGTTTCTATGCATAATATTTGCTTGATTGAATGGAAATTGGAAAACATTAATTTTGTCAAAATTATGTATAAAGTTGTTATAAATTAATTATATTATGAATTTTTTAAAAAATTAGGTTTTCTTATATAACAAAGAAAATTTAAATATTTTTTAATTTTATTGCTTTAATTTATAGCAAATTTTTAAATAAAAGAAAATAAATATCTATAGACAATATTTGAAAAAATTAATGGTACCTAGAGTTTAAATTTTTAAAATCTATAACATTTCATACACCAATATAATTGAATTTGATATCAATTAAATGAAAATTATACTTATATTTTTATCAGAATGATAATTACTATTAATATATCTTGATTGCATAGTGACAGGTTGTCTAATATTATCTAATTTGTCCTATTTATTTCACTAAATCATTTACTTCAATAATTTTCATACATTATTCTTTCTACGTCATTAATCTTTATTTCTCTATTTAGTTGTAGTTTATTAAAATAAAGAATCACATAATTATAAATAATAATCTTTTTTTTGTATTAACACCAAATGTAATTGAATAAGATCATAATATAGCGAATGACCAATATACAACAATGTCGAGGATACACACATAAAATATAATTATTTGAAAGCCGATAATATCCATTTTAATATTCGTTAGAAATTGTATCTATTATACAACGTCGATTTTTATATCAAGATAAATCAAGGTAAATCTAAAACTATTTTTAATTAATAATAATTCACTATTGCCAATAAAATTATTTGAAAATATTATTGCACTTACAAAAAAAAAATTACCGTTCCCATCGTTTATTGCTCATTTTAATGGTTTCCAATTTATCTGAAATAAGAATCTAATTTGTTTCTAACTCATTAATTTACGTTCATATTGTTTATAAAAAACATTTAAACATTTTATAATAAATATTCTCATGCCATATTCAATGACATTCACATATAGATTCACATAAAGATGAAAAGATATTCTCAATTATTCAATCGAATATAATCGGATGAATATACAAATGCCTACAAATGCATATGTATATAATTTGTATATGTATGCCAATATTTTCATACGCTTTCCATATTTTGACTTATTGAATTAAAAAAAGAAATAAAAAAGTAATTTCTATGTACATTATTACATATCGAAAATACACAAAAAATATAAGTTTCTTTATTATATAAAAATTTATTATAAAATCAACTAGTTTAAAATCAATTTTCTGACTAGATCATCGTCTGCATAATGATTACAGTGAGCTAAATTCAAAATTCGATTTCATTCAGCGCCGTGGAACATCGTTAGCAAGGAAACTGAAATGAAAAAATTTCACACATCGTGAATAATGAATGCGTGCGAAACGAGACTAATCCGTGACAAGCTGAAGCCTCGGATTGCGCATGTCACGCATTTACTATTTGATCTCTAGTGCATGGCATGTAAAGGCCCATTACGAAGTTTAATTAACTAGTCGACGTCGGACGTTTGCTGAATCGGATTACGCGAAGATGCACAGAAGAAATCTCATTTACATGGTGACGCGAAATAGAGAAAACCAAGCATACGAATGAAAATCCCGGTTTTCATATTTCCATTTTGTTGGTTCGCAACGCATCCGTTACTTGCACTTCACAGAATTTGTTTGTTTACCATCTTAACGAAGTAAAGCAGCTTCAATATGAATAATAACAGTAATATAATAAACCGATATGATTAATTAATTTTACATAATTTATCGATTGCCAATTGTCACGAAATAATATAAATAAATTGAAATATTAAATCCTTATAAATATCAACTTTTAAAAAAGAAAAAATTGACATTATTGTAAATTATATAATCAATAACATATACAAAATATTTTAACTTTAATTAATACTAATAAAATATTTATTAAACATGATCTTATTTGTACATTATATATGACGTAATTAATTATATTTCACGTTCACAAGTTCACAAAAACTGGAAACATATTTGTGAATTAGAAACATACAAAGACATATTATATTTAAAGAATTTTATTATATTTAAAGAGAGGTCTCTTTTTTTACGAAAAAATAAAATCTTAAATTTTGCATACAAATTTATAATTTTTACAGAAACGGAACTACGAGATATGGTGAATGAAGTTGATCAAGATGGTAATGGTACGATTGAATTCAACGAATTTCTACAAATGATGTCTAAAAAGATGAAGGGAGCCGATGGCGAAGATGAACTTCGGGAAGCTTTTAGGTTAGAAAATTTTATTTTCCAATTATTATTATTGGTGTAATTTTAACAAACGTTACAGTTGCTTTATTAATATTATGTAGATATGAACCTAGGAGTAAACAAATCACAATACCTTCTGCTTGCGTAATTATTTCAAAATTTAATAAGGCAATTATTATATTACTCTATTACTATTATTATTACCATTATCTATTACTATTGTTATTTCATAAGTTTTTCTTTTCGACGATTCGTAAAAAAAAAAAATCTTGTTTGTTGTTATATTTCAGTAGTTGCATTTCTCTTCCTGAAACTTTTTGAAAAATAGATATGTAGATAAGCGATCAGTGAAAGTGATAGTTGAGAACTGACTAGCATCAGCTTTTTCTCAATGGACAGAGAATCTTGAATATTACAACAATCAATTGTACTACTGCATATTATCCACATTTTTTATTAAAGTAAAAAGTTTAAAATAAATTCAATGTTTCAACGGGAGGTTTTTATTAAATTTCTGGACTCGGTCACGATTCTAAAACTAAATCAAATTTTTATTTAGTATGTATGAAATTACTCAAATGAAAAAATGTAATTGCTGAATTTGCACGTGATATAAATAAATTTCTGTATAAATTAAACAATTTATGCTCATAAAAATAATTAAACCTAATTGCAAAAATTAATTCATTCAATTAATAAATAAATGTTATCTAAATTGATATATCAAAAGTAATATATTTATCATATTGTTTAAAATCTGAAATAACTGATATTTCAAATAAGCTTAATGTAAATGAAGTTCAAAATTATCATAGAATATATTATTTTTACATGAAAATAATGAATTATAATTCTGCATGAAATACTAACAAAAATCTATAATAATGAGATGCATTCGAGCTTCACTTTAACAGAATATTTTAACAGTTAAAACCAATATATTTAGATTGCATATAAATGTCATATTTAATAATATTTATAATAGTTACTTTATAATATATTATATAACTATTGTATTTATTTCAATAAGACATGATATGAAATAAATAAATATTATTTGATATCATTCAAATATCTCTAAAGTTATTTGTTCTTGTTTTATTTCAATATATTGTACATTATATCAACAATTACCAAGTAAAAAATACTGTTGAACCAAAGAATCTATCTTACATATATAATCTTATATCCGTCTTATGACAATAAGATATTAAATATTGCAAGGAATTGGATATCTCTTAATTACTATAGAAGCATTTATATCTCGACACTTGACAAGTACATGCTCGAGTGCTCGGTTTTTTTTTATCTTCTTTTGTCTTTTTATAAAAATAGCTTTAATCATAATAAAGTTATTTATTATGATTAAAAACATGCCATATCAAATCAAAATTTTAATTTGAAAGTTCTAATTCACATATTGGACATGTCTACAATTATTATTATAATCAAATTGATCGAAAGTGATTGTACATCAAGTTAATCGAAAACTTAAAATCACAAGAGTGTCAATCAAAATAATCGAATAACTATATCGAATGAAGTGGACTTGATAATGTATCTGAGCTATACTCATTCCAAACTAACTAATTTCAAGATTATTAATTTAATTGGTAATTGAACTTTCCTTAGATATATATTGTAAAATATATATTGTTTTGTGATTTAATAATAGTTAAAGAATAATTAAATAATATATAATATTCATAAGATTATTATTCTTATTTATTATTAAATTAAAAGTTTTAAGAAAATTTGTTGTTACTATTTGGAGTGTTTTTTCATTGTTGATATGATGATAACTGTTTAAAGTATTTAGGATGTTTTTCCTGAAATAAAAAGATTATTGAATGCAGTACAATAATATTTCAGATAACTGTAACAATTTAGTAAAACATTTAATTTATTTAGACATTTATAGAGTAAATTATGCAAAACATTGTCAAACCCTTGACTTTATGAATATCTTGACCTTGAATTATAATGAGTATCGTAATATCAGACATTGAAACGTTAACAGTCAATCAATAATTGTTATTATTATTTCGCAACCTTATATCAAATATTAAGTAAGAAAGGCATTAAGACAGTATCTAAAATTATATTTATATCGTGTGAATATTATTTTCAATATTATTATTAATAATTATTTTAATAATGTATATTTTGATATAATAAAATCCTTATATAGCAGGCATTCATAATTTTTACAGAGTTTTAATTAGTTGTCATTTGTACATATATACAATTATTTATTTATAAATATATTAAAAATTATTCTTAAATGACTATAAATCTGACTAATTTATATATTGTATGTTAAATATTTGTTATAATAATTGTTATTAATAATGCTGTTAATCAGAGAACTTTTATTATAAAGCAAAAATAAATTATGTCACCTTAATTTAAATACTTTATGACCATTTAATATAATCTAATGTTATCTAAATTGTTATTACTTAAAAATCATTACTTTAATCAATCTGAAAAATCATAACATTATTTAAATATATTTAATTAAGATTATTAATTGACTGATTTCAAGCAAATTAAAATTTGTGTGATTAATATGTAGCTGAATAATCTTCAAGCAAACAGATCACTTTAACGAATGAACATCAACAGTAGATTCAATAATAGTTCACGTCTTTATTTTTAGAGTATTCGACAAGAATAATGATGGCTTGATTTCATCAGTCGAATTAAGACATGTAATGACAAATCTTGGTGAAAAGCTATCGGAGGAAGAAGTAGATGACATGATAAAAGAAGCGGACTTAGACGGAGACGGAATGGTGAATTACGAAGGTAAGTCAGTGATAATTTAAAATGAAGATATAAAATTGAATTATAAAATATATAAAAAGGCTTCTTAAATTATAAATCAAAAAATTGTAAAATTTAACTGCAGTTAGCAAAACAGAATAGGATATGATTTAATTATTTATGATTTTATAATTTAAGAAGCGTATGAGATCAATGTTTCAATGTTCCAAAGCCATTGATTTATAAATACGAGAGTTTCAAATATACGATAATATAATATATTGTGTTTGGTGAAAGAACGTAGTTTAGAAAATTGGAATTCTTGGAAATGTCGGTTGAAAAAGAAAAATGAAGGGTAAAAATGGCGTTGTCTGTAAATTTATACGTGGTTGACAAGTAAAATTAATAGTTCGATTAAATGAGTACTAACTTGATATCCCGGAGCGAATAACATAATAAACTTCTTCCCTCCCGGTCGTTTAATGTACGAGTAAATATTCTCAAAGATAATTATACTCCACAATCATGGAATTGGATTGCTTTGTTCTATACGAGTTGAAACGTTGAACGACTTTTCAGACTCAATAATTCGTGAATGAATTAGTAGAGATAACATTCTTACTTTTACTACATGAAAAATATACATACGAGCGCATACAAATTAATACTTTATCTTTTTAAGGTCTAATATTGTTTAGAAACTTTCAATTTACAAAATTTATAAATAAAGATAATAAACATAAATTGAGTGTATACTTGCATAAAATACTTGGCGATTACTAGAGTAATTTTCAAGTAATGACTTCATTAATGAAATTTGACAAAGTCCAAATTTTTTTCTTAAAGCTATTTCTAAAAAGCAAATCAAATAAAACGAATTTTATAATCTATATTCCATACTATATTAGAAAATTCCAAACTTTATTCTTTTACTAATAATGTGGAAAAGTATAAAAATAATTCTATTCGATAAATTCAATCATATAAAGAATTTCAAGCTTAGTTGTGTAAATTTTTTCTTAATTTTGTATGTTATTTAATATATTAAACCTCGACTTACGAAATTACGAAAAGTTTGATATACTCAGTTTAAAAAATCTTACACATTAAAATCTATTATAGTCATGTAAATAATATATGGTTCTTATCAATCCATATCTTTGAAAATGTTGTTCAACATCTAAAGTAAATATTTATAAGTTAAAAAAAAAAAGAACAATTATTGTAATTATCACGTTTCTTTTTTAGAAATATTTTTAGAAAATTTTCGAAATCTATACAAAATTTAAGAATTTTCTAATTAAAAGTTTAGTACATAAAAAGTTCTTGCAAGTCTATTGGAACCTGAACAACTTTACAATAAAAGTTTCAAGAATCACCATGGGTCATACGTTTACTCTTCATAGATTTATATGCAAAGTGATGGCAGGTGGTGGTCAATGGCAAAATATTTTATTTATAACAAAAAAAAAAAATAATCTCAAACGTTTAAGATTTACATAAATTCAAAACCAATTAATTATTGCGCTAATTATACAATTTAATTAAAAAGTGATTATTCATCGCGTGTATTTTCGTAAATAAAAGACGTAAACGAACTTTTTCCTCACGAGGCGTTAAAGCGAAATGAAAAATAATTGTTTTATTTAATTATTCCTGTTTATTTAGAAGAACGGAAAACGTTGTAATTACCGCGAGCGTCCGCATAATTTATCAGCAATTTGTCAAACACATTATCAATTATGAATTTTAAATCACATCTCTTAACACAAATAAAAAGTAACTTATCTATCAAAAGTTTCATATACCGCCGACACGCTCGACTAATTAATCATTCGAAATTATCCACTGAATTATTAAATTGAAGTCGCAGCTAGTAATCGCCAATTGCGTACGTCTTTGCATCCACGTGCCCGACCCCTTTCCTCGTCTCCAGCAGCGAATATCGACCCCGGCGCGATCCAACTCTCGCCAGCAGCAACTTTCGTGCCCGGTCTGCTTTGAGAATGGATCACGGTTCCAGTTCCCTCCCACTCACGCTTTTTCCTATCCCCGTAACTTTCGACTAATAATCGTTGTTGCTGGTGCGCGCGTCGCAAGGCGGGAAACTAGGTCGGACGATCTTTAAAAATAAGCCCGTTAAATCGGCAGGACGATCCTGCACTCACGGTCCACTCGCCATACAGTCATTAATCTCGATTCTTCGCGGATTTATCCGTTTTCAGAATTCGTGACTATTCTCACGTCAAAGAATTAGTTGGATCGAGGGAATCTAGTGGCAGGAGCAGCAGCAGCTCCGCGGTGCCGCAGTCGATGTTAAAGTGGTCGCGAACAAGGATGATGAAGAGCTGTGTGAACGTGGGCAGAAGGAGCAGGGCGAAGGGACGAAATGGATAGGCAGTCGTGAAAGCGTCGATAGTCAAGGCCAAGTCAGCGAGGTTCTTCTTTTCAGGTTTGTAAATGAGAATAAATAGTTGGACTCGAGGCGTTTTTATGAATTGAGAGGAACGGTAGGCCAATGTGACCGTGTGTACATTGTACATAAGTAGGCGCTGCTTATTACGAAGACTTTGCGCAGAAGAGAAGTTGGAAATAATTTATGCAGAATTTGTCTAAATAATAAGTGCGAGAATATCATGTCTTTGAGTGCATTGACTTTAGCGCGGATGATTCGCCGTTGCAACTGCACAATTAGACTGCAAAGTAGAACAAGATTTTTATTATATCTTCGTATTTCTTATCAAGCTTATTTTTATTTTATATTAACAAACCGAGAATTCGTTATGCGGTATGCATTATCTTAAGAATAATAAGTAAGCCATAAACTGCTTTTAAGTAGTTTGTTAATAATCTAGACCGTGTGCTTACCAAACGTTCATTAATTTTTCAATTGTACCAGTTTTTATAAGTATATAGAAGTGTTCTGCATTAAGTGAAATTGTTTGGCTTTTGTTATACAAAGTATAAACAATGAAGAAGAGGTAGAAATTACTTTCGCAACCTCGTGAGCAATTCTTTATAATACATACAACCCTTTCTTCGCCGATGTAATTTATTGTAACGTATCTTGTGTTAAAGTCGATAATAATGTATACGGATGCGTATGCAGGCTGCACGAATCGAGAGGATTTTTTGATCGATAGAGCTTGATCTAGATTCAAAGATATACACGACATTACAGTTATAGATATGAGATTTTAAGTTTTAGATATGAATTTATGAATAAGACGGTACAAAGGTCGCTTCAGAAACAATCAACAGAGCTTCGAATAGAAATTTTACAAATGCGAAATATGAAAGATAAAAACGGATAAACTAAAAGTTTCAGAACAAAAATTATACATTATTCTGATACTATTGCATAAAATTGCAATTTATGTATGACTAAATATGAAATTACCTATGTACACAGTTGAACCTAAAACGCTCGACACAATCTCAAGCGCAAATCTTATTAAAATAAAAATATTAATAGTCTCGTAAAATTAAGCGAAATGTTAAGTAACAGGCAATTAATTTAATGTTAATTAACAAAATGATATCATTTAAAAGAAAAAAAGAGTGTCACAATGAACAGGACCTAAGAAGAAGAAAAATAATTAAGTAAAGCCATCTAATATAAATATAAACATCGCCCGGTACTTACTATAATAAAACTTTCTATATTTATCTGCTTAGATATAAATAAATACATTTAGCAATTTCAAACTGCAGATGTACCCGTAAGTGGATAGATAAACAAAAAAATTAAAAAAAGTTAATATAGGGTTGCAAATCCAAAAGTCGAATTCAATCAAGAAATTAAAAATGTTAAACGATGAGTGTGTAGTACATTTTATATCAAATTTACTGGTTTAATGCTGATATTTAGTAAACATCATTCGGAGTCATATTTATTTAAAAGAATATTTATTTAGGAAATGTGAGCGAATATCCTCCTTATTCATCGCGCTTTGCTTAAAAAAAATTACCATATATGAACAATTATTTACATTACCAAAATAAAGATAAATTAATTGTTAAATCTCAAAGTTCAATGAAATTCTTAATAACTACTCGTATACAACATTATAATCAAATGTCTCGATGTTTTTTTAATGTTTGTATACATTGAAAATGTATAATAATAATTATTATTATTACAATGATTATAATAATAATAATAATTAATAATAATAATAATAATAATAATCATAATAATAATAATCATAATAATAATAATGATGATGATGATGATAATGATAATAATAATAATAATAACGATAAAGAAGTAAAATGTTACATCACTTAATTATTTTTTCATCGCTTTATCTCGGTGCATTCATTAATAATTTAAAAACTCGCTTAAATTCATCAGATACTTGCACGGTGAACGTTACATCTTTATTATGATTACATTGGTGCTAAATTGGTAGTTATGCTTGTCACCAATTTGCAACTGCAAAGATGCTGCGAAGTACAAATTGGTCACATGTACTCTCTGAAGAAATAAGAAAAACTTGCCCTCGCTTTATCAAATAATGGCATTCAAATATTTCCAACGCAATATCTTCCTTCAACTTTGAATATTTTTACCCCTTCGTGACATATACCTTCGAAAAAGTATACGTCTATGAAATTTAACGACGCAGACCTGACCGTAAACATTTGCCGTTGTACGTTTATAAACAAATAGTAAACAGTTTCCGCTATTTATACACATCATTTTCACAGTACAATTCCCATTCCTATATATACTTGACTATTGTATGACGTAAATTGCATTGCACTTGCTATATGAGTGTATGCAGCGTGCAACAAACGAGCTCGGATCAATCAAGGCTTATATATCCCCTTTCATATCTCCCGCGACAATAAAAATCGCGGCAAGAGATGTATAATAAACGTAGTTGATGTAATGAGGAAAGTTTCTTCGGTTACGATAACGTAGTAATAATATTTTACAAAAGCCGTACGTTTGTAAATGCGCAGGCATAATTGCGAGAGCTTAATTTCTCTCGAACACCTCTTTGATGTTTAAAGCAAAAAATTATATGAAAATTTAATTACCTGATTCTTCTAGAATTTTGGAAAATTGTGTCGCTTAAATACTATATATTTAATGATTTTTTAATTATGTAAGGCGATAGAAACAACTAGATTGCTGAACGATATAAGTCTCAGAAAATTATAAGACGGCATAATAAATAAAATTACTTTACTGCTGAATAATAATGATCAGTAATTTTTCGTTTATAAAAATAACGATTTGTCTGTAAAAATAATCCTGTTTTCAATTAATTTGTTTATTCAAATTATTTATACAATTACGAGTGGAAGAAATGCTACTATTACTTCAATAAAGGAAGATGTGTAATTGTAACGTATTCGATTGTCTCCCATAAGTATCGTACACTTGTCGATTAAATATGAACAAGTTACGAATGTATTTTACATAACACAACTATATTTATAGCTTAAATGTTCTTATCATTAAAAGCACAAAACAAACAATCTTAAACCTTCAAAAGATTTAGAGCAGATATAGTACATCAAGACTTACATAACTACATCTATTGGCTAGAAAAATCTGTGTATAATTTCGTTACTCATAGAAAGTAATTTCATTAATAATATGATAATTAGTCTTACCGTTACGTACAAAGATGAGTAAAAGTCGAGGCGTTGAATGATATATTAATGAAATTTATACTTGAGAATTATGTTTTAAAAAGTCTTATAAAACATTTTGAAATATATGGAATTATAGTATTTAAGTATCATTAATAAAAAAGAAATCACTTTTTATAATAAAAAAATCGAAAAATTCTATTATCATTTGCATATATACACAAAGATACAACTATAATGAACTTACCTAATATATCATTCGGTATGATGTAAGATTTTATCAATTATAAAACTTTGCAATGAGAAGATTGAATAAAATTTTACGATCGAATAAGCATTATTTAAAAAAAAAAAAATACCATTTTTGTGTTACCTGAAGAACCATTAATTATTTATATTGTTGATTACTCATTTTTATTTGTAATATTAAAATTTTCAAATTTTCTTAAAATAGTCAATTGTGCATATATTATTTTCATTGAATTTTATTAAGTTAATGTATTTGTTATTCAACGTCTCAAATGAAAAATGACTATAGACGTAATTTGTTAACTCGTTTTAAGGTCGATGATTGATAAAAGCATATAGATATCAAAATTAAATTTTTAACTATAGATCATATATGTAGATACGCTTACTTTTCAACATATAATAATATCGACCCTAGGACAGTGACGTGCAAAAAAGGTCTAAAATGAAATAAAGAGAAAGAGAGTCATTATTTTCATCGTTACACTAAATAACTAGAAAGTTTTTATATTAGCTAGAGACAATAACGCGTTATGTTTCTTCAATTTGCCAGCATATAGACAATGTATAAGAAAGTGATCGTATATGTCATATACACACTTGGTTACACGCGCGCGCACACACGATTATATATTTACACGGATTGAACTAAAATAATATTGGACAATGGGTACGTAGACTTTGAAGATATTGACTCGTTTTTTTTATAAAATTAAACGGTGTTTTCGAAATTATATTCGAAAGCAATATACAGTAAAAATTATTATAATTGATATTTATATTTTTTGTACTATCTTATTCCAAAAAGAGAAGAATTTAATCGTTTTAAAGAAAATTCAAGAGAAGGAATATAAATGAGAATCTCAAATTCTCTATATATTCTATAGTAAAGATATGTTATGATAATTTTTACTAAAATTGATTTACTGCAAAGCCTCAAATCCAAAATCCTGAAATTGCGCGACTGTTGATACAATTGTTACTGACGGATTTGTAAAATATATAATGAAACATTAACTTCATTTGTTACATAAGAAATTACAGTTAAATTACAGCAGTATGGTAAATCGCAAATAAATAATACTGTAAAACGTCCTAAAGACAATATAATCTATTTAAAGAAAAAAAAATAGAAATAAAAAGGGAGATAACCATCTAACGAGATCTCTGATCTCTGATGGCCTATATAACTATGTTTATTGTATAAAATCCGTCAATATAGGTAAAAAAGTAAAAAAAAACGTGCAAAAATACGTCCAAAGTGATAAAAAAAAAAAAATGTTACAAAGTTTCTCTTCCGTTTACAGAAAGTATATAAAAAAAAAAAAAAAAAAAAAAAAAAAAAAAAAAAATACGTTTTCTCCGAGTTTCGGTAACGCATCTATACCGAGTGACAAAAATAAAAAATAATAAAAGAAGCAAGAGAAAAATAAAAAATGTTTAAAAACGACTAACGGCAACCAGCGTTTATGGTACTTCACGAACTTTAACTTTGCTTTACAATATAAGATTATACGGTCATTATAATTTTACATTATTATTTTCACACAAAATCATAATTTCATATTTCCATTTTCTAATTTTCTCCCAACCATATAATACAAATTAACAATTTTTAATTTAATTATTAAATAATAATGATGATGATTATATGTATATATAAATATAATTTAATTTTTGTTATCATGTTCAGTAATTATTTTGTCATTGATGCAAATCGAACGTGCAGAATCAATTAGCAATTAAATTTCTTGAATATGAATGAGTGAGATATCATATTTAATTTGCACATAAATTTTGAAACAGTTACAAACTGTATAAAAGTAACGTATATTGTAATCATTTCAATCTATCAGAAAGAATATGAGATATTTTTATAGATTTTGCCGAAAGCATCGGCCCGCATTACGCGTCAAATCCTGTATTAATATGATGAAATCCTAAAAGAAAAAATGCACGCATAAGATATTTGACACTATATTGCATTAAATTTTACTATATAATAATGATATGAGGAGATATTAACTGTTTATAGAGCATTGATTCTTTATTATATATCCCCTACCCTTCTTATTCGTATATTTTCCTTGATATTGATTGATGGACAAGAAGGACATGGAAAATTATAATTATTATATTTCCAATTATAATCTTCTAATAAAAATTGCATTGTATAATATAATTAGTCATAATAGCAAGCAATTGTTAACGCGTATATATTATATATTAGTATATATTAAGCGAATTAAAGTTGATAATTAATTATTATAAATAATTCTTATCGTTACGATTCATGTATGTGTGATTTCAGTCTTCCGTTTACCATTTAAAAAAGTTTTTTAAACAAGTACAACGTGGCTTCGCGCAAAAGCTGTACTTTCGTATATTACTTCCATTTATCGCTGTAAAAATCGCTGAAGGGAAAAATACATGAGATAATGAACAGCCCGTCAGGAACGCGTTTAAAAGACTT